AATGCCCCCAGAATGGCAGTGCTGGTTTGGGTCTCACATTGCCATTGTGTATTTTCGAACATGGTTTTATCGGACCTGGACTGACCTCTGGGCCCTTGGGGGCTCCTTCCACCTTGCAAGTCCATACAAAAGGATTATTATTTTGAATTTATTTATTTTTTAACTGTGATCTCTCTTACTTTTGTTTCATACGTGCCCACACTGCCCATGTCCTGAACACCAGGGATGCTGCCAAACCAGCGTCAGCTCACTTTTTAACTGAAAATAACTCCTGGATGGAATCCTTCTTCTCTTCTCAAGACCTCTTCCCTCTATCACCAGCCTCACTTCTCCCCTACCCTGTCTGGTCTGGTCTGTCCACCACCTCTCCTGCCCACTGTGTCTTTTGGGGATCAATTTTCTCCTTCCTGATCCTCCTTCCTCCCCTGCTTGTTCTCTCTCAAAATATTTTACCCTCTCCTATATGATTATTTCAGTTTGGATTATGCTACTTCTTTCTTTACCTGCACTTATCTCTGTGTATTTTCTATGCATGTCATATTGTTAAAGTACGTGTTGAAGCTGGCAAGGAACTGTCATCAGCATTTCACACAGAATATGGCTAGAAGTTAAGACTTTTAAAGCAAAAAGAAGTTTAGCATCAAAAACACATGAAAAAAGTCTTATCGAAGACATTCAAAAGGCTGGCAAACTATCACATCCTACTAATTAAATCAGGACAGAGTAAACAAAACAAGTACATCATTTTCATGTGTCACAAAATAATGAAATGACACACATTTGCACAACGCCGCAATGAAAAGCAAGAGATAAATCTGGAAACATCAACATTACCCTGCCGATATGGTAACTTCAAGCGAGTGAACATCATAAAGCAAGTTGAACCTAGTTAGTGTTTGCACTATTAGCACATCTAGAAATTATACAGCACTGTAAATTCTGTTTTGCCTAGTTAAGTTGCCTATATGCTATGGATATGTCTTCAACCTCAAATTTTGAAAGGAAAGCAGCAGGAGCAATTGCTCCAATTTTTGGCGTGTATCCGTGAAATGAATCCTTCTGACCACTAATGTATAAAAACCTTCTATCATATTCAATCTGAAATGGGAATTTGATTTCTTTAAGAAGCAGTTCTCCTTATAAAATAAGGTTTCAATCATATTACAAGGGGCAAGGATCTGCATCCTTATTAGTGGAATTTGTATTTGACTACAAGAGAAGATGGATTGCACCCATCACAAATTCTCACACTGTGCTCAACTGCCTCTTATGAACTGTTCAAGACCATAGCTAACAGACCACTTGAAATGGTTCCTCTTTTTTTTTTTTTTTTTTTTTTTTTTTTTTCCTAATAAGGACACACTCCTACAGGTTCTGTGTAAGCAAGCAGACTTTGGGAGGTACATCCTATCCATTTAGCAAAAGCTTACTATAGATTTACTATAGAACAGGAGAAAATCTAGGACAGAAAAGCTATAAAAGTCCATCTTTTGACCACCAAGGAAGCACAGGGATGGCCATGACGTAGGACCAGAATTTCTACAGAATAAGTGACCCTGGGTAGTGCTCCAAACCCTTTTGTTGCTCTAGTCTGCAGATGACTTTCCTCGCATGCAGAAAATGGACAATATTGACAAATTAAGCAAGGTACATAAGGAGTAAATTGAGTATATAATTTTATAGTTTGACTCCCTTTTGCACAAAAGCTATTACAAGTATGGGAATGGCATTGTTTCTGTCTGTAAATGAAGGGCAGTAACAAGAGGAACAGTGATTACCTCTCATATTGGTTCAATTTTAAAAAGGAACTATGAAGCAATAATCACAAGGAAATGAGAAATAATTTTCAACCAGTCTAATAAAACCAGTGTATGAGAAACCTAAGAGAGGGATCGTGTGGCTATCAGTCATTTGTATCCAGTAATTGCTCTATAAATATATACCATCAACCTGATAACTACTCCTTTTAAATTAGACAAAACAGAATTGATAAGACTGCTGTACATATCTGTAGGATTATCTAAACATGCAATACAACTGAAGTTAAAGGAATGCAGAGATACAGTATTTCTGCTGTTCCTGACAGACCACTGCACCTGAAGACCTTTCACGTATTTCAGTTTGTCTTGTAGAGGGAGTAGCTAGTAAGAAAAGCTGCACAAAATTCAACATCATAGGTATAGATTATTACAATGGATGAAGAACACATGTTAATACACAGCCATAATTGCAATTGTATCATAAGTATTCTTTAATATTCAGCATAAGTGGCTTCTGGTCTCCTTTCCTTTTGTTTCTTACCAAACTCCTTAGATTTTTAAAACATACCATTGCTAGTATTCACTACCTATTTAGACTGAGTTATAACAGGCTAGTCTCCAAAACCCAGATCCATGAAGATATTTAGAATTCCTGTTACATATTCCCTATTCAACTTCCTTTCCATTTTTTTTTAAGGGAAGAAAGGCTTTTAAACGAGATTTAGACAGTTAAATACTTTCATAAATCTGGCCCTAAAAAGCTCTGCAGGAAGAAAAGGAGCTCCTGAGCTGACTGATTCTAGTCAGATATTGAAATTCTGAGATTTAGCATGTGATGATGGCAATTAACTTCAGGTAAAATACAAAGTAGAAATATCTTTGACCTATAGATGACTTGAAATAACAAGTCTCAAGTCTAGGGTAGAAAAACATTAATTACTAGCAGTTCTAAATCTGAGGAACCGGTGTGGAACAATGCATGGGTGATGCACTGAGATTCAGGACCTTCATAAGTACCTAAAACACTCTCAAGCAGTATGGAAACGTTCATAAATTGCTGTGCAGGACCAACTATGATGTTTGATTTCATTTGTAAAAATAGATATGATAGGATAAGGATTTTCTGGTTTGAATATTTAATTTGCAATTATAAGAAATAATCAAACATTTAAGCTTATGCATTTTTTATGACACAATATACGTATGGAGATTTTTATCTCTCTGATGAAGTAGAAAGGCAAGAGATAATTTATTCCTCGTCTAACTTTACAGCTCATCAGACAGCTGTGCAATTTATCACGTGTTTTTTTGCTGTACTGCCTGTGTTTTAGTATTCAAACATCCCCATGCTTTTAACTAGTGTGTTTTCCCTCTCTGGCCTCAGTCACCTTGAGAAAGAAGACTTCTGCTCCACATTTTGCAGATAAAGAATTTATAATCACAAAATGGTCTCAAGTCAGGTGCCAGAGTGGTAAAGATTCAGTCCTTTTACAGTGACAGCTTTTAACCATAAAGGTCACAGCCTTCAAGACCAATATCTCATGCTCTTGCAGTGCTTCCTAACCCTGAAAATAGGCAGATGTGCACTTCTCGCTGCTCTGGAAAGGCTCGGATGCTTGCTGTCAAATTTGCTACGGAAGCACATTACTGCTATTAGGTAATTTTTTACAATTGTTTCACATTTTTCTATCTCATCCCATTCTCTGAGAACTGCATTTGACTCACATTAAAGGCACCTGGATGCAGAGGTAGTCACAGGTGAGAATTAATCTCTATAGAAGTTGCATAAAATCTAACACGTACCTCATCTCTTTGTAAAAATGTCAAGTAAAAAAGCCTCCACACTACAGGAAAAAAAAAATAGACCTGGTTTTGAACAGCTGGCATGTATTTATTTTTAATAAGGACCACATCTTATAACTTTTCACCTGTTAAAGCCTCATGCCTGGTTATGGTAACATGCATTAGTCACCATGACAACAATAAATTGGAGCGCACATAAATACAACGCTTCTGTCTGAAAAATTAATAATTTTCTCCCTGTAAGAATTTTAAATGTTCTGTGGACCAGCCAAATACTCATTATTTGCTTATATTTTAATTCCTAGAGGGAGAGAAATTTTTTTAGCTCCTTCTATCTTTGTTTTTTGAAATAATGGAGACAGGTTCATGGCGTGCTTACATATTTTAAAAGCTTCTAAAGCTCAGTGTCCAAAACGGCCCCTCTCTGGTAGAAATGCTCCAAGGAGGTGGTTATATGTCAGAAATTAGGAGAAATCTACAGATGTTCTGAAACACTACACTGAATGACTGTCTGTCATCCTTATCATGCTGCAATACAGATCACCAGGTTTGCTCTCACGTGCACTGCACATGTGCCTCTGTCACAGAAGTGATGAAAATTCAGAGCACCATCAGCATTACGTCTAATTCCCCAAAGTGTCTCTGCAAACACGGTGTGCTCCTCAGATAGATGAAGCCTATAGATTAACACAGAAAGGGCAGCACAACACATCATGGGGGTGAAACTGTGCAAACGGAGCTGTTTACACGGTTTCTCGCTTTGGAAAAGCGAGCAAACGAAAACACCAGGAACAGAAGTCAAAGCTCCCCCTGAGCGAGACTGCTGCTGGCAATCCCCTCACGTCCTGTATGGACACCATACAGCCAACAGACGCTAACCAACACGGCACGATACACGGATGCGCGCACACAGAATCCCAAAAGAGGGCGGACAAGTCATGGACTTTTTTTTTGTCATTTCAGCGACGTGACACCCGTAGATAACACCACGGCAACAGACTGTACATCCATAGAGTGACAACATAGCCATTTATCACTGTATCTTACATTATGAACCTGATGGATCGATGAGAAAGGATATCCTGCATTCTGGTTGGTCCAGATCTCACAGACAGAGGACTGCTAATATAAACAGAAAACTACATCTCATCTTGTAAATATTAATGCACTGCAACTGCCAAAAGGCAAGAATAATTAAGAAAAGGGTTGCAATAACATTAAAGAAGGAAGTAAAACAGCTGTTAAAAGTAATTTTTTATTTATTTGCTGACAAAATATTGTTGGACTGACTGGAAGGAAACACAGCTTATTCAGAGACTTTAGAAGAGGTTTCAAACTGTGAGTACAAGAAAACAATTTAGTCAGAAGTGCTGCTGATGTAAAGAGATAAAGTTATACAGGCAGAAACAGAAAATGCAGAGAGCAGAAGAAATATTGGTTGCTTTCAGTTCTTGGCAGGCAAGAAGTTTGAAGTCAACATCCCAATTAAGTTTTTACATTTGAATCTCTCTCTGTTGGAAACTTTCAGAGGGAGAGAGGGAGGGAAAAATCTAGCAAAACAGTTAACAGGAAAAATAATTTTCTTTGTAACAAGTACCAGAAAAGAATGCACCCCAATTAAGTGAAGCAGTTGACCATGATCTCCTTCCAACCACAGTTCCTTTGCATAAAGATACAGATAATATTACCTTTAGTATTGACCATGACCCCTCTGTGTAAATTAAAGGTTTCACGCTACCTTTTACGTTATTTTACAGATAGTCTGTAGGAGCAAAATAAGCATACTGTAGCATCTCTAGCAAAAGCAACAGAACCAGGCAAGCACAGCATTCATCAGCATCTTTTACATATCTCCTTGTTCGGACAATCATCAAGAAAGCATCTGTGACACCTCAGCAAAAGCTAAGATAACATTCTACAGTAGCCAGGCAACTAAAACAAAGCATCAGATGTAGGATCTGCCCACATTATTTTCGGCAGGCAGCAACAAAACGCAATAAACACACACGAAAAATGTAACTGCAGCATCCAGAATAGACAGTAATTAATAAATCAGTAATTTAACAACAGCAAGAATGTGCACTGCTGGTTCTTGTTTTAGCAGGAATTTAGCACCAATGCTCAAAACAACCTAAGGAAGTGCAGCTCTTCTTAGAAATATGGCTCTTGCTCTTACCTTCCGTAGCCTGAAACCTGGCTGTCTGGCTGGTGACAGACTAGGTTATTGCTTCTGGTTACTATCAGGGAAGGCTGGCATCCTCTGGACTCACTACCAAGCACTGCCAGACAGGCTGGTGGCTGCCTAATGTGGTTAATTGTTCCTTATTTCCTTAATGATTTGAAATGCATGTGCACACATCCCTTCCCCAAGCTTCAGTAATTTGTAAACTTTCCTGTATCTGTTTTTTTGAAATAGTATCCCCCATCTGGTTTTTGAAGCTATTTGCTTCTCCTTCATGATTTTATCTACATTTTGATAGCATTAGCTAATAAAACTTCGTCTTTGGTTCACCGTTTTCTACCTCATCCTCTGCAACTTGCTACACAACAGTTATACTCCTGCGCCAAACATATACTCTCAGCGCAAGGCCAGTAGCAAACACTGCTCCAGCTACTTCTGCTGTGCCATTCATTATTAGGACACTTCACTAGTTGGCACTAATTCACTTTTTTTATGTATGTCAAACAAACTGACTTCTGGATGCTCCGACCGTGCCCATCACTGTGATGCCTACGTGTGTTTGCTGGGGGGAATTCATGGACAGGAATCCATATGGCAGGAGGTTGTGCCTCCGCTTTCCAGAAGAAAAGAGAAGGCATTTCCATGCCAGGTACAGCATCCCCAAGCATCTGGTAATCAAGAAAACATACTGCAGTGCTACTTGGACACACTCACTGAGGTTCTGAAAGGAGTAAGATAAAGTAGCACGGCACCGTATGCTAGCAGATATTTTATTTCTCCCCAGCACTGGCATGGGGTTGCCTCGATCCTGTCGTATCATACAGCTAGTTCTCACGATCTTGACATTCTGGAGACTAAAGTGCATCTTTAAATTCTGCTCCTCCCGAGGACTTGCCTTTAGGGAGAGGTGTGTTACCTCAGCCAGATCAGCTGGGAGCCGGTGCCTGTCGCCCACAGTGGAGGTGTGCAGGGCTCTCCCAGCAAAGTGGCGGAGCTGCTGTGCCGGCAGTGATGCTGCGATTGCAGCCCTACCACGCTGCAGCATGTAAATGTATAAATACACCAGATACATCTATCGTCTGCTTTGGTGCTAACTCAGAACAGGTAACGCCACGCTGCAGTAAGTGTGTCTGCAAGCTTTAAGTTGCTCCATTTTAAAAAAGGGCAGGAAATCAATCCTTTCTTATATGCCCCACCCTGCTCCTCCCTGCCCAGCTCATCTTCTCCCAAACATAAACTCAGAGGTTATCACCCTCCCCCCAAGAGTTAGGAGCTCTCGATGTGATGCCCTTCTCTGACTGAGAGAATTCACACCTGCATATTTCACCTTCCTCTTTCACAGGTTAAAGCTGCAGATGATAGACTGTCTTCAAGCCCTTTTATAAATGAAGGTAAGCCCTTCTTATTTTTAATTCTTTGGAGAAAGAAGAGTGCATAAAAGCAGATGTCTGGAGCACTCACCTGTGAGAGACAAGTTCTGGGTCCAGGTCTCTGCTCCAAGGACTGTTCAAATGAACCGCCCCGATCACACAGACCTACCTTCAGAATTAAAGGTTTGGAACATCTAGGATTAAGATAAATCATCTTTAAATGCAGATGACTCAATTTATTAAGTCAATAATAAATCAAGCAGACCAGCAGAGATGGAGAATTTCCCATGACTGTATGAATGCCCAGTCAGAAGGGCACCAGTGCAAAACTCATTACTCAGTTCTGCACTCATTAATGTTTGAATGACTAAGGTACTGAAATGCAGTACAGAAGGAACATTAATTTTACAGAAGGTAATGAATTCAAATTCAGAAACCAACCTTTTCCTTGCACCACTGTAAAAATATTTAGCATTTATTACATACATATTTTAAGTCTTCAAAGTGCTGAAATTTTTCAATGAATTATGAAATTCCCAGGAGAAGTACTTAAAGCTGCATACCCCTGTGCTGAAGAAGAAGGAACCAAGGAAAGGAAAAAGGTTGAGTATCTGAGGTCAGAAAACAGGCAGGAGGAGGGAGAACTGGGATTAGGCTTCAATCACTTGTAATTTTCAGCTCCCAAAACATATGCCCTCAAAAAGGAAAAGAATTCAATCTGTGCATGCACTTCCACCATAATAAACACAAATACACTTGGGCACTTCATACCACTGACCCAGAGGTTCTGTGAAAAACCACATTTTCCTGATAAGGTAAAGAAGAGCAAAGGAATAGCATCAGCTATTGACTGATTAGTATCAAACATTTGTCTATCTTACTCTTTCCAAGAGATAAATGCTTATGAGTAACATCACAACAAGTCTCTGCTACCACAATACTATTTTTGCGATAGCTATAAATGTCCCATGCACAAAATGTTTCCCTGTCTAGTCACTGTGGGACACGGCTCTGATGGGCAGCAGGCGCAAAGGAAGGGGGAAAGGGAATGGCCTACTCTGCACAGCTCCTGCCATCTGCCACCCATGATACAGGTGGCTGGTTAATGGTATGAGAGGGAGGGCGGGAGGTGAGGGTCTGCAGTACGGGCTCTCCACTCATCCACCTCCCTTGCCTTCCCAGCAACTGCAGTTCTGACGTGGTCTCCTAATTACTTTATGACTGTCTTTTAAAAGAGTTAAGGACATTTTCACTTGTTTATTTAACTTAACTTGCTTGTGATCAAGAAAACATTCACGTAAGAAGTAATATTTCTTATTATTCTTGCTAACTTCCTCTGTGAGAAGATACGAGGGCACAATTACTTCAGACACGTGTTGTAAAGTCAGTAGCCACTCATTTTACAAAGTGCTTGCACATTTCCATCTGCTTCAAGTCTTTCTAATTACTCACATTATTTACTGGAAAAACTGTAGGACAGGAGATAAACAGGTCCTCAAGGTTGTAGGTTTTGTTGGAGACATCTTAGTGTTTCATAAGATGAACAAAATCACCTAAGGAGATTACTTTAGGCTTCATAGACAGGGAAGTCTTGCTTGATAATCTGAAGACAGAAAGTAACTGTACTGAAAGTGATTGCAAACCAGTAAGACTGATCATAAAAATGACATACTTTCTAAGAAAAAGAAAGGAGGAAAGCAATAGAAAAGAATACCCAGAGAGCATATCCAGAAGGAGCAGGAGCTGGGTAGAAGGCAGTCCTGATGTATTCAGCACAGCTCAACAAACTTTGCTCGATGGCACTTTAGGAGATGTCATAGATTTACCTAAACTAGGTGCAATTATCCTCGGAAAGTCATAGAAGATACTGAAAGGACCAAAGAAGGGCTAGAAGAATATTTAAGAAAGGAAAAAAGGAAGATTCAGAAAGTTATAGGCACCCTAACTGCAGGGACCAGCAAGCTACTAGAAAAATTGTTCAAAAATGTCTCCATCACCTGGTTCTTGTGTGCTATGAGACTTTCTGACTTTTCTCCTGGCCACCTGAAATAAACACTTAGGAATATGTGTACATATGTGTGTATTACTTACATCTAGGTATATATTATTGAAAATAACAAAGAAAAGGTATGATCTTGCCTGTCATCCGTTGCTCAAAAGAGCTTCTATGGGCCAAAAAAAATTCAAGATGTTTATAACAAGGTTGTTCAGTATGAATCATCTCGAATCAAACTTCCTTTCTTGGAAAACTGTCTGACTAAATCAGCAGCAGCAAGGAGAAGCACAGCAGGACTTGGATACCGATTGTCTGACTCCTGACGCAGCCACACATGATCTGTCCCATACACAAACCAGCCTGAATCAAAATGCAGTGGTTGCACAAGAAGTTGAAATCCACATGTAGAGAATAATTATCAGTATTTAAGCAAAACTAGACTGGAACATGCCGAGGCACTCTGCAATGACCTGCTCCATGTGTTGGCCTGGAGAAGTGCTCAGGATCTTTAGGAAGGATCCAGAAGTGGCGAGCTTTCCAGAAAGGGCTAAGAACTGAAAATTGATTTGAT